CAGCCCATTTTATTTTTATTTATTTATTTTTGAGATGGAGTCTTGCTGTTTCCTAGACTGGAGTGCAGTGGCGAGATCGCAGCTCACTGCAACCTCCCTGTCCTGAGTTCAAGAGATTCTCATGCCTCAGCCTCCTGAGTAGTTGGGATTACAGGCGTGCACCACCAAGCCTGGCTAACTTTTGTATTTTTAGAGGAGATTTTTAGAGGACATGGGGTTTCACCATGTTGGCCAGTCTGTTCTCAAACTCCTAACCTCAAGTGATCCACCTACCTCGGCCTCCTAAAGTGCTGGGATTACAGGCATGAGCCACTGCACCCGGCCATATTTTGCATTTTATTTTATTTTATTTTAATCTTATTTTATTTTAGTTGAGACGGAGTTTCACTCTTGTTGCCCAGGCTGGAGTACAATGGTGCAATCTCAGCTCACCACAGCCTCCGCCTCCTGGCTTCAAGTGATTCTCCTGCTTCAGCCTCCCGAGTAGCTGGAATTACAGGCATGCGCCACCACACCCGGCTAATTTTGTATTTTTAGTAGAGATAGGGTTTCACCATGTTGGCCAGGCTGGTCTTGAACTCGTGACCTCAGGTGATACACCTGCCTCGGCCTCCCAAAGTTCTGGGATTACAGGTGTGAGCCACCGTACCCAGCCAATAATTTTTAAAATGTATTTTGTATACCTGTCTTTTATCACAGATACGTGTTTTGCAAATACTTTCTCCTACTCTGTGGCTTGTCTTTTTATATTTTAACAGTGTCTTTCACAATGCAAACGTCTTATTTTTAATATAGTTCAACTTACCACTTTCTTCTTTCATGGATCATGCTTTTATGCTGTATGAAAGAACAATCCCCTCAACAAATCCCCACTCCCCCATAAAAACTAGCCTTAGAAACACTCTGTTACTAGGTAAGCATAAATGTGATTAAATTTAGTTAAAATCAAAGTAGAGGCTAAAATAAAAACGGATCATTAACAATCCAACATATAAACTAGTGCCAAGTCTAAGTGAGAACAATTCCATCTAATAGCGCTTGTAAATCTCCATGAAGGCAAAGCACAAAGGACTAACAAGCTCTTAAAACAGAAACAGAAAAAAAAGCTATTCTCAATTGGAAAAATAATTTATATGCATTAAGTGGCAAAACAACAAACCTTAATTTTTTATATAATGGAAAAACACCACACTGCGAACTAAACTGTAAACACATGACATGTCACTTTGTCATTTTCAATATTATGTTCCAACACTACTAAAAACAAAACAAAACATCCTTCCACAAAAGAATCCAAATAAATCTTCATAAAGCTAATTATTAGTAGGGAAAGAAAGGTATTTCATTCATTTCAACATTTAAGTATAAGAAATATAAAAGAAAGTTATTGAATTGTTGAGGTGTAAGGTTACAACGCCAGTTTCTCAAAGTACAAGTCTCTAAGTGTGCACCCAGGGCAGTGATCAAAGTGAGAGTTTCCATAGTCCTTTCCTGTTTTTACTTCAGATAACAATGCCTTAAGGAGCTGAAAATGAGTTACCTACCACCTCCTTTTCCAGCCCTGAAATATCAATAATATGAAGTGTCATGTGGATAGTTGTCACATTTATCTCCCCAACATGACCAAAAAAAACATGTTTCTCTCCTTTTTTAGAAATTAAATTTTCTCAGAAACCAGGTCAAACTTAAGATAAATTCCGTTGGAGTTTGATCACATTTTGATGCACTTAAGTGTTTCACTGCTGATGACAATATACTATGAGTTTGTGCTTTCCTAACACCCTACTCGGTGGTTCCCAGATAATACATACTATCCTTATTAATATTTAAGATTTAAAATGTTCCAGTATAAAGTAAAATTTCGAAAAATAAAATGTTACAGTATACAATGGAAAACAGTTACAGAAGCAAACCCCCTCACAATATTGTTGCTGTAGGCCGGGCGAGGTGGCTCAAGCCTGTAATCCCAGCACTTTGGGAGGCCGAGACGGGCGGATCACGAGGTCAGGAGATCGAGACCATCCTGGCTAACATGGTGAAACCCCGTCTCTATTAAGAAATACAAAAAACTAGCCGGGCGAGGCGGCGGGCGCCTGTAGTCCCAGCTACTCGGGAGGCTGAGGCTGGAGAATGGCATGAACCCGGGAGGCGGAGCTTGCAGTGAGCTGAGATCCGGCCACTGCACTCCAGCCTGGGTGACAGAGCGAGACTCCGTCTCAAAAAAAAAAAAAAAAAAAAAATTGTTGCTGTAGAAACAGGGGTGATGATGATGATGATGCTTTACTTGTTTAACCTCACTTACTCCTCACACCAATCTTGTATAATGAGTCCTATTATTATTCCCATCATTTTAGAGATGAAGGAAGTGAGGCTTGGGGAGATCAAGTCTGTAACTTACTCTGGATCTTGAACTTCTAAAACCACTATGCTTCACTAACTCTCCTGAATAAAGTCACATTATTATACCTCAATACTGTTTTTTTTAATTCTCTCTCCTTCCTTCCTTCCTTCCTTCCTTCCTCCCTTCCTTCCTTCCTTCCTTCCTCCCTCCCTTCCTCCCTTCCTCCCTTTCTCTCTTTCTCTCTTTCTTTCTTTTTTTGAGACAGAGTTTCACTCTGTCACCCAGGCTGGAGTACCGTGGCACAATCTTGGCTCACTGCAACCTCTACCTCCTGGGTTCAAGTGATTCTCCTGCCTCAGCCTCCCAAGTGGCTATGATTACAGGCATGAGCCACTGTGCCCGGCCTAATACTGGGTTTTTAAATCAGGTTTTTAACCGTGAGGACTTGGAACACCCAAGTTTCTTCAAATAATGAAATCTAAACATGTTGTAAGAGTAAACCAGATCTTTCATTAAATCAGATATTATTTTACAGAAGAGGATACTGAGGCTCAGGAGCTTAAATAATTTCCTCAAAGGCAAATGGCTAAAATGGATAGAGCTGGTACTCAGGTTTGCACAACTAAAAAGGCATTGGTGTTTTTACCTTACCCTGATACTTTCCAGAACACAGAAACCATACTTTAAGCAACACACAGGTTATGTAATACATGAAACACAGTATTCTATATTATTGCAGGTATAATATGAATATACGGGCCAGGCGCGGTGGCTCACGCCTGTAATCCCAGCACTTTGGGAGACCAAGGTGGGCAGATCACCTGAGGTCAGGAGTTTGAGACCAGCCTGGCCAACACTGCAAAACCCTGTCTCTACTAAAAAATACAAAAATTAGCTGGGTGTGGTGGTGCATGCCTCTAATCCCAGCTACTCGGGAGGCTGAGGCATGAGAACTGCTTGAACCCGGGAGGTGGAGGTTGCAGTGAGCTGAGATAGCGCCACTGCACTCCAGTCTGGGCGACAGAGAGAGATTCTGTCTCAAAAAGCAAAAACAATATGAATATACAAAATATTAAGAATTTGCTAAAAGAATCTGTAAGTCTCTAAAGTTTTCCTATAAAAAGTAACACTTTATGCTAATTATTTACAATAAGACTAAATATTTCTGATACTTAAGCTTCCATTCCACCTATTAATCCAACAAATAAAAGATTATCAAAAATTAAGATATTACAATGATACCATAACATTATGAAGGTGAAAATACGGACTACATTTTCCTAAGACTTATTTAGGCTTTTCCAACTTCTAGCTAATCTTAGCCTAAAAGCAAACGAATCTTTTCTCTTTTTTTTTGTTTTTTGAGATGAAGTTTCACTCTTGTTGCCCAGGCTGGAGTGCAATAGCACAATCTTGGCTCACTGCAACCTCCGCCTCCCAGGTTCAAACAATTCTCCTGCCTCAATCTCCTGAGTAGCTGGGATTACAGGCATGTGCCATTACACCCGGCTGATTTTGCATTTTTAGTAGAGATGGGGTTTCACCATGGTGGTCAGGCTGATCTCGATCTCCTGATCTCAGGTGATCCACCGGCCTCAGCCTCCCCAAAGTGCTGGGAATATAGGCGTGAGCTGCGCCCAGCCATGAATCTTTTCCAATTCTAACTACGTCTATAAACTCAATTAAAATGTTTAACTGATGACAACATGGGTATCATAAAAAATAAATAGCATAGGCCGGGCGCGGTGGCTCAAGCCTGTTAATCCCAGCACTTTGGGAGGCCGAGATGGGCGGATCACGAGGTCAGGAGATCGAGACCATCCTGGCTAACACGGTGAAACCCCGTCTCTACTAAGAAATACAAAAAAACAATAGCCGGGCGAGGTGGCAGCGCCTGTAGTCCCAGCTACTCGGGAGGCTGAGGCCGGAGAATGGCGTGAACCCGGGAGGCGGAGCTTGCAGTGAGCTGAGATCCGGCCACTGCACTCCAGCCTGGGCTACAGAGCGAGACTCCGTCTCAAAAAAAAAAAAAAAAAATAAATAAATAAATAAATAAATAAATAAATAGCATAGCAATACTGTTTTTCTTTTGCTTTAGGAAGAGGTAACATCTCCAAAAAATACCCAGTAAAGTAGATATTCTGTTGCCAGTTCAAAGCGTCTGTATTATGTGGGCAAAGACTTCCAAAGCCTACTAAGGTTTTTGCTTTGAGTGGCTCATACAAGTTCCTTGTAGCTCATTAATGCAATGGTTTTATGACTAAAGGACACCAGCGTGAGACTTTAAGAGTTGTAATGTTCTCCAAATTTTAAGTATAATCTCATACGCCTTATGTAATTTCTTGAAGATTCACCAAGTAATATCCTGTGTAGCAATTAGAAAACTGGTATCATTTGTAGTTCTCAGTCCTTTTATGTCATAGAAATTCATGCTGGATTTTTGCCATATAGTTTTACTTCTTCATTTTCCTTATCGAATATCTAAAAATAAGTGAAATTCTAACATCTTTTTTAAAAAACCTTGTCACATTTATTTTAGTACACCATGAAGATATCCACAAAAGGTTTTAAAATTCATGTAAGTATCTACACTCCAAAAGTAAGTATCTGGCAGAAATAAACTCAATACATTTTATAACCCCCTGAAATTAACATATACCTGCTTCATTGTTAATTGGGAACTCCCACAGTTTCCCCTCTTTTGTCCACTGGATCAGCTCTTCAAACCCATTCTGAAGGAGTTGTCCATCTACTGTGGCTAACTGCTTAGCAAATTCCACATCCCACAGTGAAGGTGATGCGTCTGTACAACAAAGACATTTTAAATAAGAACAAGTCAATGTAAGTGTCTTTTTTAAAAAGTTACAACCAATCTTGAATAGATAATGTATTTTTCAGACCCTGACACTCATAATTAAATAGTATATAAGTTACTGAGAGATAACTGCAAAAATTATATTAAAAATTGTAACTACAATAATGGCAAGCTTAGCTTTTGTTTTACAATGCCAGGTAATCACTGCCCCCTCTACTGGAAAGAAAAAATAAATTTGTGTTTTGTTTAAGGGTATTTTTATGAATGTGAATGTTTTTTGTAGAATATGTGACTTTGGTTTTTAAAGTCTAGCCTGTTATCTTTAGTCTATCAAAATTAGTTACAAATGTACTACTGTTAACAACCAAAGAAGTTATATTAACAGAATAACAAAACTGATAATGAATACTGATTACTTCCTCTGTGCTTAAATGCATTTATTTTATGCATTAGTGCATATAATTCTCACAACCAACCCTATGAGTAACGTATTATCATGTTGGCTAATTACCACTATCATATTACATGTTTCAATAACTTATTTACTTCTGAAACTTCAGATCATCTTTTGAAAATGAGCCATATTCCCACCAGTTACTGCTGCTAGGAACATAAAATGGTACAACCACCTTAGAAAACAGTTTGATGGCTTCTTAAAAAGTTAAAAATATATCTATTATTCAACATAGTAGTTTCATCCCTGGATATTCACCCAAGAGATAATACATGTCCACACAAAGACTTGTACACAAAAGTTAATGGCAGCTTTCTTTGTAATAGCCAAATGTGGGTTGTAATTTGGGAAACAACCCAAATGTCCACTAACAGGTGAACAGGTACAAAAATGTGAAACATCCACACAACTGTATACTACTCAGTAATAAAAATGCGTTACTAGTACATATAACAGCATATGGATGAATCGCAAATCATTATGCTGAGTCAAAGAAGCCAAATGCAAAGGAGTACATACTATGTGATTTCAGTTATGTACAGTTCTAAAAGATACAAACTAACCTATTGTAACAGAAAGCAGATCAAAGGTTGCCTACGTACTGTGTGTGGGTGTGTGTGTCTGCGTTTACTGCAAAAGGACACGAGGAAACTTTGTAGGTTCATGAAAATGTTCAGAATTATAACTGATATTTTCATGGATGTATACATTTGTTAAAATTAGTCAAGTTATATATTTTAAATATATGCAGTTTGTTGCACACAAATTATACCTTAATAAAGATGTAAAAAGAAAATGAATATCAGTATCTATCCCTTGGCTACCTTTTTTCCTATATTTTTATTCTTTAGTTATTTTTACCAATATCTTCTATCTTTCTTATTTTTTTCTGTGTGATATCACTTTTTAAAATAAATGAGGATCGTATAGTTTGGTAATGTACTTTTTTCACAATGATTAATTGTGAATACTGAATATTTTGATCATTTATATATTTTCTCTTTTAAATACTATAGTGACAAATGTACTTGTATTCTATGCATATCTGTAATATTCCCTCAGAACAAATTCCTAGGAACACAATTTCCGGTTTAGAGGCATAGACTGCATATGATCTATCCTCCAGCTTACCTCTTTACCCACTTTTGCCAAGCCCACTAAAGCATATCAACAAATAGCTCAATTACTCTTCTACCTGGGTAAGCCTTATTTTATCTATTTTGCTTCTTCTGAATCTATTTCTATAAGCCTTTATGTGCAGAAATGTGTGTAGATATTAAGTATTTTGGCCTAGATCATCTAATACTGGGAAACAATCAGTTGTTAGCCTCCACTAGCCACATTTACAGAGCAATCACACCAGTAAAATAACTTAATTGTCTCAGTTATCTTTTACTTGGTGGTCACTGACTGACCTACGTCTTTTCCATCATCATTAGGATCATCACTATATTTTTACACTTGCTAATATTTGTAAGCATTTATTAAATATGCACTATGTTCCAGGCACTGTGCCTGACACTTTTCTCAGATTACCTCATTTAATCTTTGAGATGTATGTAGTAACCCTCATTTTATAGGTGGGGAAAGGTTAGTGCGGCAGAATCTGAATTGGAATCCAGTTCTACACAACACCAACACTCTTTCTGTTAAACTATACTGCCCGTGGACTCTAGGATAACCAGTAGGGCCTACGACTATATCCTTTGTAGCAGTGGTAAGAACTTAGTGGGGAACAAGACATGGGAATCATGGAACAGAATAACTCATTCAATCAGTCAATAAAAAAATTACTGAATGCCAACTATATTTCCAGCATTATTTCAGGTGGTGGGAAAACAACAGTGAACAATTGCTAAATTTTACGTTTCTACATTTTGCTATTCTTGTATTTAATTGGGAACAAACACCATTCTTTAGACTCATGCAAGTATAGCACATTCACACAGTACCTTCATTAAAGTAAATTATTACATAAATTTGTGTGCTATTGTCCTCACTAGAGTATAATCATTTGATACTGTTTTATCAAATACATAAAACTTTGGTGCTACCTTGCCAACTAACTTCAGTTTTAGAAATAAGATTTTTTCATTTTAAAAAGTAAGCTGGTTCCTTCAAGAATCTCAAGAATCTTCAAGTGTCTCTCTTGGCTGGACAATAGCAGCTGCCCTGACAACCAACTTTGTTTTTTTTTTTTTTCTTTTTGAGACAGAATTTTGCTCGTCACACAGGCTAGACAGGCAATCTTGGCTCACTGCAACCTCCGCCTCCTGGGTGCAAGTGATTCTCCTGCCTCAACCTCCCGAGTAGCTGGGATTACAGGCACCCGCCACCGTGCCCAGCTAATTTTTGTATTTTTAGAGAGAGGGGGTTTCACCATGTTGGCCAGGCTGGTATCGAACTCCTGACCTCAGGTGATCCACCCACCTTGGCCTTCCAAAGTGCTGGGATTACAGGCGTGAACCACTGTGCCCTGCCAACAAATTCCTTTCTGATGCACGCTTAACCATTTGAGCAGGGGAGAGGCGATTCCTTGTCCCTATGCATTTTGCACTTCCTTTTCATCATACACAAGAGAATGCAGTTTTTGTAATACAAGAAGGGGGTTGTTCTTTTAGCTTCACCTTCAGTTCAAATGAACAAACACTGAATTAACTTCTTTCCTCTATAGATACATATTTTACAGTACAGTTTGTTCAAAAAAGAATTTAAGATTTAAGATAACTAGGCCGGGCGCGGTGGCTCAAGCCTGTAATCCCAGCACTTTGGGAGGCCGAGACGGGCGGATCACGAGGTCAGGAGATCGAGACCATCCTGGCTAACACAGTGAAACCCCGTCTCTACTAAAAATACAAAAACTTAGCCGGGCGAGGTGGCAGGCGCCTGTAGTCCCAGCTACTCGGGAGGCTGAGGCAGGAGAATGGCGTGAACCCGGGAGGCGGAGCTTGCAGTGAGCTGAGATCCGGCCACTGCACTCCAGCCTGGGTGACAGAGCGAGACTCCGTCTCAAAAAAAAAAAAAAAAAAAAAAAGATTTAAGATAACTAGTTCCTATTATCTGTAAGCCACATGAGTAGGTATACATGAATGAGATCCAGCCCCTAACAGTCTATTAAATAGAGGGAAAATCAAAAGTTCATATAAGTAGCTGTAGAAACATTAAATGAGCCCTTGGAGGCCCGCCTAGGAACTTATCTATCATATACAACATTCTTTTTTTTCCCCCCTTCGAGATGGAGTTTCACTCTGATTCTTAGGAAGGAGTGTTATAGCACAATCATAGCTCACTACAGCCTCGAATTCTGGGCTCCAGTGATCCTGCCACTTCAACTTCCCAAGTTACTAGGATTATAGGCATGCACCACCACGCTTGGATAATTTTTTTCTATTTTTTAGAGAAACGGGCTCAATATGTTGCCCAGGCTGGTCCTGAACTCCTAGTCACAAGCCATCCTGTTGTCTCAGCCTCCCGAGTTCATATACAACATTATTTCTACCAAGATCCAAAAAACTAACTTCTTTTCTTTAGAAATGCTCCTCACTTATATGCTACAGACCATTTGTATGAAGTTTCTTCATTTATTTTACTAGTAAACTAAATGTAATGTCAAGCAAGAGGACACTCTTATTTCTCTTTTAGACTTAAAATGGCAAATTTCTTACCCAAAAAAAACACTACAGGTCTGTTAAATATATTCCTTGAATGTTCTTCCCATCTCCGGAACAATCACTAAGTCACTTCAGAGAGTTATTTTGTACTATCTCCTCTTCTAAGCTGCCTAAGGGCAGGAACCAGTATATCTTTATGTAATAGCATAGAGATACACTGTAAATGGTAGCTGATTATTAATGTTCTAACCCAAATTAGTAGCTAATCTGGACCTCTGGATTTGGTAATTGGTAGTACTTTACCTCCCACTGTCTCAAAGAATGCAACATTTCAAGGGGGAAACCTGACCAAAACTAGCAGTGTTGGCAACTGTAGTGTGATGTGTCCCCCACCAGGTTACTTAAGAGCGTTATGCATGTTGCTTGGATCCTGAAGCCTGGGCAGGGAGCCAAGGCCATGGTGCCTAGCTGAGAAGCAGGTGTCCCTGAGAACCCAAACAACCCTGGGCATACCTGGGAACATATCAGATAACACTGTCATTGCACACACAGAGTAGGCAAACAGCCAGAACATTAGCTGAAAGGCAGCTTAGAAATGGGAGACAGGGTGACTCTAGAGCTGCTCAGGAATGTCCAGTATGTAAGTTCTAGTAAACTCATCTATTTGCCAAGCTGGACTTGCCCAAATTATACTTTGGTCTCTCAACTCCTCCCCAGCTTGGGGGGACATTACAGTCCCAAGTTTTCCTTATAACAACTGCCACATTCGTAAGCAGGATGCAGACCAATGACAGAATGGAATATGAAAATATCCAACTATTGCACCGTTAGAACACTAAGGACGTCTTGGAAAGCTGGAATGTTTCTCCCCCGGAGAAAGAGTGTTATTCTTAACAAACCTGTTTCAGGTGCTTCTTTAGTAACTGCTGTCATGTCAAAAATATGAAGTCTTTTCCCCGAGAATATGTTTTTCCTAAGTCTAAAAAAAGAAAACAACATTTTAATGAATATATTTTAAACTGTCAACAAAAATTATGAGAAAATACCTTAAGTGAAATATTCTATGTAGAAATTAAAAATAATTCCACTGACCCACATCAAAAATCTTAGCTAAATTGCCACATTTTTAGGACCGATAAACTAAAAACAGAAATGTGCACTTGAAGTTTTGCTTCATATACAACAAATCAGTTACAGCAATTTAATTTCCAAAATACCTAATTGAAAAGATTAGCTTAATTTGCCATAATTTTTATTTTTTCGCTTTTATATTAAGGTTTTAAAAACTCCATGTTGTGAAAAACTATAAAACTATGCTAAAATAGAAGCTGTTAAAGTCAACATTTGTCTTTAAGGGCAGAAAACACTGCAATGTTTAATTATAAATTATAATTGTAAAAGATTGCATTGGTAAATCACAACATTCACTTTCATAAAGCAATCATTCTGCATTTTAAAATAATTATTAACTTTCTTTACGTGACTGTTTTTAATTAACTATTGAAATTAATATCAGAGAGTTAATAGGTAACATTTTCTTACACACTTGATAATCAACTGCTTTATGCATCAATTCACATATTTACTTGAATAAATTTACTGGCAGATTAAAATCCAGTTTATAAACTGGAGGGTTGGCCAGGTGAGGTGGCTCACGCCTGTAATCCCAGCACTTTCGGAGGCCGAGGCAGGTGGATTACCTGAGGTCAGGAGTTTGAGACCAGGCTGGCCAATATGGTGAAACCCCGTCTCTACTAAAAATACAAAAAAAATTAGCCAGGTGTGATGGCAGGTGCCTGTAATCTCCACTACTTGAGAGGCTAAGGCAGGAGAATCCCCTGAACCCAGGAGGCAGAGGTTGCAGTGGGCCGAGATTGTGCCACTGCACTCCAGGCTGGGCGATAACAGTGAGACTCCGTCTCAAAGAAAAATAAAAAAATAATAAAATAAACTGGAAGGTTAGTTTTAAAAATAATTTTGAATTCTTGTTTTTTTAATAAACTAAATTACTTCTCTCTACTAAATACAAATAACTGGAAAAAATGCAAATACCATATGAACGTTAAATAATGTGATCTCAAATCATAAAATCTTCCATCTAGTAGTTCCAAGTTATTTGTAAACAAAGGATTTTATGCTCCAGAACTCTCTTCAGTGCCTTGCATTCTTCCCCCTTAACCACACGTCTGGTAAACAGGATGGTGGATTAAAGCAAGTCAGAGCAGGGGGCGAATGCCTTGGTAAAGTACTGAATTTCAAAAGAGGAATGTACTACAAAGAGAGGGAATGGACATTTGCTGAGCACCTACCATGTACCAAATACTTTACACGTGTTTCTTTTCTATTCCTTAAGAAAGTCATTTAAGCCAGGTTTCACTTTCAGCATTTTATAGGTGGGGAAACAGGCTGATAGAGGCTATAAAAGGTGCTCCTGTCACAGAATTAGTCAGTGGCAGTGCCAACATTCTGAGGCAGGCCAGTGTGAACTATCAATCTCCAACAGAAGAAGTCAGTCCAGGCCTGGGTTGTCTGGGGTTGATACCCCAGATCCTGCCCCAGTCACAGCAGGGTGAACAACCCGGCATCTCATCATTGCTTCCCCTTACTCACCTCTAGCTGGCTTGTTAACACATTGAAGGCACAGAAACCCCTTTCCTACTTTAGTTTCTAAGTTTTAAAATATTAAATATCAAATCTAATATTAAAAATCAAATTATAATATACCATCCTAATGTAGTTGCACAGAATCGTTTAAGATGAATGATTCAGTTAAATATTCTCGAGGATTAACTGATTCAGTTAAATATTCTTAAGTAAAACTCCAAGTACACCTTCTCCTGTATTCAATAACATGTAACAGATACTAAATCACTTTAAATTAGTAATTCAAATAATCTTCCAAAGTCACCATAACCTCTTGAACTTCCTGTGTTAACTGCTGACCACCTTTTCCAACTTTCCTGTATAAATTAGTAATTTAACACCCGGAAGGAGTTAACTCAAGTTCCTGATTTTTTTTTTTTTTTTTTTTTTTTTTGAGACGGAGTCTTGCTCTGTCACCCAGGCTGGAGTGCAGTGGCCGGATCTCAGCTCACTGCAAGCTCCGCCTCCCGGGTTCACGCCATTCTCCTGCCTCAGCCTCCCGAGTAGCTGGGACTACAGGCGCCCGCCACCTCACCCGGCTATTTTTTTGTATTTTTAGTAGAGACGGGGTTTCACCGTGTTAGCCGGGATCGTCTCTCGATCTCCTGACCTCGTGATCCGCCCGTCTCGGCCTCCCAAAGTGCTGGGATTACAGCCTTGAGCCACCGCGCCCGGCCCCTGATTTTACTTAAAACAAATCCACAGAATACACAATGCATTGAAAACACTCCAATTGTGAGCATATCCTGCTATAAAGACAAGTTAATTTTTGTCAGACCATGCCAAATATCTGGTTCCTCCTTCCCATCTATCACTTTCAGGGTTTAAAGAAGAAAAGGAACAGAAACGTTATGCAAATACAGAACAACTTTAAATTATAAAATAACTACGTAAGGCATAGCTCAGCATCTTTAAGAACTTCAAATCAGTAAATTCAAGTGGCCACAAATAATCTACCATTTTAAAGTATTATATAAACTTTTTTCCTCTCGCCTTTCCTTCTTTTTGTTGATGATGGGTTATTTCTCTAAACTATGCCAACAGATAAGCATGTATTGAGATATAAAGGCTATATGAATACACAGTATTAGACACATATTTAAAATGAAAAATAATGTTTCTCACAAAATACTTATTTGCTCAGAATTCAGTCAGCTCCTCTTATTCTAAATCAAAGGACCCCTATTCATTGTGGGTAGATGTGAAGCATGGCCCATTTTGATTTCAGGTATGGAAAACCACAGGACTGGCTAAATCCAGCACATGGTTCCCTCTCTAGGAAGTGGTATACAGAGAGTAAGAACACAGATGTAAATGCATTCATAATGTTCAAATATCCAACAGCAATAATAAACACACATAATAAGATAAATCTACAGTGAAGGTAAAAACAAACTACACAAACGAAACCCAGCAGATTACAAAGCCTGATACCTTTTTCTAAGATCAGTGGTCTGCTGGTCAGGAGAACTGTCATAGCCATCATCAAATTGAATCTGATGCTCCGGTCTTGAACGAACTCTAGCTGCAGAACGTCTGGCAACTTTCATATCTGATATTATGTTACTGAAACTGAAATAATAAAAAGGTCAAGTGTATTAGAAATCTTAGCTACAGAACAATAATAAACTTCCTTAAACACAAGACTGAGATCGTTTAATTCTTATTTCATTTTTATGCACTAATTACATAGCATAAAAATGTTTAAAAAATGTCACCTATTAACAGTCACATAACATGGAATATTACAATTTGTTTAGTGTCATCTTTTAAAGATGTTCTTCAGAAATCTTCATTTAAAACATGTCGTATGAAAAATTATTCAAAGAAAATGATAGGAAAGTAAAATCAGTATCTGTTATACCTATCACCTACATCCAATAACTAAATTAAAACCAAGAGTTAGCCATATTTATTTGTTGCTTTTTATTTGTTCAAACACAAATAAAATGAGTCACTGAACTAACAGTCCAGATATCTATGTCTTCCTTTTTTTTTTTTTTTTTTGAGATGGAGTTTCGCTCTGTTGCCTAGGTTGGAGTGCAGTGGCGTGATCTCGGCTCACTGCAACCTCTGCCTCCCGGGTTCAAGCAATTCTCCTGCCTCAGCCTTCCGAGTAGCTGGGACTACAGGCACATGCCACGACGCCAGGCTAATTTTTTGTGTTTTTAGTAGAGACAGGGTTTCACTGTGTTAGCCAGGATGGTCTTGATCTCCTGACCTGGTGATCCACCTACCTCAGCCACTCACAGTGCTGGGATTACAGGCGTAAGCCAACACACCTGGCCTTTTTTTTTTTTTTTTTTAATCACAGTTTCTTGTCTCACTCTATCGCCCAGGCTGAAGTGCAGTAGTGAGATCATAGCTCAATGCAACTTCAAACCCTGAACTTAAGTGATCCTCCTGAGGCTGGGGGCAGTGGCTCATACGTGTAATCCCAGCACTTTGGGAGGCTGAGGCAGGTGGATCACAAGGTCAGGAGATCAAGACCATCCTGGCTAACACAGTGAAACCCCATCACTACTAAAAAATACAAAAAAATTAGCCGGGTGTGGTAGGGGGCGCCTATAGTCTCAGTACTCGGGAAGCTGAGGCAGAAGAATAGCATGACCCCGGAAGGCAGAGCTTGTAGTGAGCCGAGATCGCGCCACTGCACTCCAGTCTGGGTGACAGAGCGAGACTATGTCTCAAAAAAAAAAAAAAGTGATCCTCCTGCCTCAGCCTCCAAAGTAGCTAGACTACAGGCACACGCCGCCATGCTCACCTAATTTTTTTATGTTTTGTAGAGATGGGGTCTTGCTTTTTTGCCCACGCTGGTCTCAAATTCCTGGCCTCAAGTGATCCTCTTGCCTTAGCCTCCCGAAGTGCTGGGATCATGGGCATGAGTCAGCACACATGGCCATTTCTTTTAATTTCTTGAAATAAATCTGGTATGCACACTGAGAACAACTGATTTAGATCACTCTCCAAAAGGAGGCAGTGTTACTGCTTACTATACTTACTACTTACTATAATGTAGGCAGCAAGTAGTATAACATGGTATAAAACAATGATAGATGAAGAGAACGAGTGGAAAGATGTCAGATGAAATATAGAAGAGGAAAAAGAGGAGGAAACAGACCTGAAGATGATCATAAAACCGGCAAGGTATTTAACTGGAAGAAATTACTTTTCTCAGAGAAGCTACCTGTTATTTATTTTAATAACATTACTGAATTTACCATTTCTTTTTTCATGGACAAGAAACTGTAACTTCCTAAAAGAAAACTTTATTCAATTGTTTTTTTAAAAACTATAATCACAATTAAGACATAAGTTTTTTTAAAAAGTTGAATTGCTAAAATTATGTGGTATATTTTATATACAAATTCCACTTACGTGGTATCTATTATGTGTATTACTCACTAGCCACATGAAAATGGCCCAGTTTGAGATATAAACATTACTGACTTAAGGTTTGATTCACTCACCTAATTTTAGATTGCTCTGCATCTCTCTGTGCCCTTGACTCTTCCTCATGCTGCTGGAGCTGCCTCAGCAGCTCTGACTTTGTTGTTTGCTTGTCAAAAGGGAGAGAATCTGCCACAGCAGATGCAGCTGCCACCAACTCAGGACTCAGGGGCTCAGTTCTGAAAAAGAAAATGAAAAGCAAATGAGAAAGAAAAAAAGAGAGATTGGCCAGGTGCGGTGGCTCATGCCTGTAATTCCAGCACTCTGGGAAGCCGAGGCAGACGGATCACTTGAGGTCAGGAGTTCGAGACCAGCCTGGCCAACATGGTGAAACCCCATTTCTACCAAAAATACAAAAATTAGCTGGGCGTGGTACGCGCCTGTAGTGCCAGCTACTCAGGAGGCTGAGGCAAGAGAATTGCTTGAACTGGGAGGTGGAGGTTGCAGTGAACCAAGATCACACCACTGCATTCTAGCCTGGGAGACAGAGTGAGACTCCATCTCAAAAACAAAACAAAACAAAACAAACAAACAAAAAAGAGAGATTGCTTATTGTACCATTTAGTGAAAAGAAAAATGATTTTTGGAGAAAACTTTGGTGTTCAAAAAAGTATTCAATTCAGTTTCTGACAAAGGCAAGAATTCTCAACCATTAGGTACCGGTTTTATATAAACTTTGAAATGTTAAATGTTAAAATTAATGGATATTTGCTGAAGCACAACACTAACTCAGAACAATATATTAAGGTGGAGGGGCGAAGGACAGAACAGCCTCAAAAAATATAAATTACTGGAATTTTTAATTAGACGCTATTGTATTTTGGAAACAATATACATTGTAAGCAAATATTAAGGCAGGTTAACCACTTCACAGAAACTTTACTGGAACCAACCTAAAGGTCTATCATCAGAATAGAAAAATAAATTGTGATACACGCATACAATGGAAGAGTACTCAGCTCATGACAACATGAATGACTTCCATAGACATTAGATCAAGTGAAAGAAGTTGGACACAAAGAATATAAAATACAAAAATTAGCCAGGCATGGCAGCGCGTGCTTGTAAATCCCAGCGACTCTGGAGGCTGAGGCGTAAGAATCGCTTGAACCTGGGAGGTGGAGGTCGCAGTGAGCCAAGATAGCACCACTGCACTCCAGCCTGGCTGTCAGAGCTAGACTCTGTCTTAAACAAAACAAACAAACAAAAAAAATCTGTATGATTCCATTTATATCAAGTTCCAGAACAGGGAACACTAATCTGAGGTGAAAAAAAAAAAATCAAAACAGCAATTGCCTCAGGACTGATGGCTACTGACTGGGAAGGTGAAAATGAAACACATAGTGTCTTGGTAAGTGTGTGGGTCACAGGGGGCTTATCTGTTTGTCAAAATCCTACAGCTAACATTTCTACACTTTAATATCTGTAAATTTTACCTGAAAATAAAGAGCCATAAATCATCATCAAGTAGGAGATGGAAAGTGGGTGAAGGCATAGATGACACAAGAATGGCAAAATGTTGATCACTGTTGAAGCTGGGCAATGGTAGAAAGGGGTTATACCATTTTACGTTTTCATATACATCTTTTCATATGTTTTAAGTTTTTCATAAGAAAAAGCTTTTAAAAGCTTCCTAAATTAGAGGAAGTTAATAGAAAAACATTCTATTATAGAAAGAAAATAAATTATTTATAACATTTTTTTCTTTTTTTTTTTTTAAGAGACAGGGTCTCAATATGTCATCAAGTCTGGCCTCGAAGTCCTGGGTTCAAGCAATCGTCCCATTTCATCCTCCTGAGTAGCTGTGACTACAGCCATCTGCCACCATGCCTGGCTATTTGCAACATTTTTTAACTCACTGAGAACTGACATCTCAATGAGTGGGATCCAAATTAATGTTTTTTTATACCTGGCTTTCTATATTATGATCTGTTACCTAATACGAAAGTTAAACTTCCCAAATTCCTGAAGTTCCTGGAGAAAGATTTTAAGGACTTAACTAAGATATGAAAGATCTAACATCTGATAGGAATAGAAGAAAAACAGAAGACTGAAACAAGGGGTCGGGCACGGTGGCTCATGCCTGTAATTCCAGCACTTTGGGAGGCTGAGGTGGGAGGATCGCTTGAGCCCAGGAGTTTGAGACCAGCCAGGGATAGAGAAAAAAGAAAAGAAAAGGAAAAAAAAAAAAATTAGCCAGGTGTGGTGGCACATGCCTATAGTCCCAGCTACTGGTGAGGCTGAGTGGGAGGATCACTTGAGCGCAGGAGGTTGAGGCTGCAGTGAGCCATGATTTTTCCACTGCACTTGGCCTAAGCCACAGAGTGAGAGTCTGCCTCAACAAAAAAAAAAAAAAAAAAAAAAAGGGGGGGAAATATAACAGTTAAAATAAAATGTGCTTTCAAAACTGTTACCTGTGACTAAAGCTTTAATCTTATTCCAAAGTCACTGTATTTCTTTCATAAACTACTTGTGAACTTCACTTTCAAATTTTTATGTATTTGATCACAGTATACACAGAACACAGATGAATATTCATTTTCTAGAATCATACATTTCATAACAATAGTTTCATATATAGTTATACTCTCTAGCTTTATAATCGGGAATGTTCTAATTAATAAAAATTGTGGGGGAGCCTCTGTCATTGAATAATTTTTACATACAGGGATCTTTCTTCATATATTTTAACAATGTAAGGAGAACTTTTTAAAGTATCTTTGAACAATCTATTCTATCCTGTAATTAAAAGTATTTCATGAATACATACTTTACCCCTTGATAACATTCTGTACTTTTAAAATTTCTTTAAAATAAACTGTATAACATAAGATTTCAGAAAAGAATTCTGATGAGGGAAAGAAACTACTAAGTGGATACTTAAATTGGCACCGCTTTTGGCAGGAAACTTGGTGACACAGGCAACTTGGTGACAAAGGCAAAAGAAAAAAACGCACATCTTTTGACATAGCAATTCCACTTCTAAGAATATGTGTTTAAAGAAAATAAACAGAAAAAAAGAAAAAGAAAGAAAATAAACGGCTGGGCGTGGTGGCTCACTTCTGTAATCCCACACTTTGGGAGGCCAAGGTAGGCAGATTACTTGAGTTCAGGAGTTCATGACCAGCCTGGACAACACAGTGAAACATTGTCTCTACAAAAAGAAAAAAAAAATTAGCCAGGTGTGATGGTGCATGTCTGTAGTCCTAGCTACTCGGGAGGCTGAGGTGGGAGGACTGCTTGAGCCCAGACATGGAGGTTGTAGTGAGCTGAGATTGTGCCAGTGAACTCCAGCCTGGGGAACAGAGCAAGACTCTGTATCAAAAAAAAGAAAAGAAAAGAAAAGAAAAGAAAAGAAAAGAAAAGAAAAGAAAAGAAAAGAAACAGATTTGCGAAATTTGAAGGATACTGCATACTCCAGCCTCAAGGCCTAAGCAGTTCTATCCTCTATGCCCGAAAAGAAATTCATCTTTCAGATATCTGCATGGCTTTATCCCTAATTTGATTCTAATCTTTGCTCAAATGTTACCTTATCAGAGTTCTTCCCTGATTATTCTTAAAAAATAGCACCTCTCCAGCACCCCTATTCTTTTTTTTTTTTTTTCCACCCAGGCTGGAGTACAGTGACACAATGACAGCTCACTGCAGCCTCAACCTCCTCAGCTCAAGCAATCCTCCTGCCTCAGCTTCCAGAGGAGCTGGGACTACAGGTGCATGCAATCATACCCAGCTTTTTTTTTCATTTTTTGTAAAGACCGGGTCTCACTATGTTGGCCGGGCTGGTCTTGAACTCCTAAACTCAAGCAATCCTCCTGCCTTACCCTCCCAAAGTGCTAGGATTATAGGCTGTGCCTGGCCCAACTCCATCACTCTTATTTTTCTTCATGTTTCACCACCTGACATAGTATAGACACTGTGTGTGTGTGTGGGGGGGGGGGTGTGTGTGTGTGTGTGTGTGTTATACATTTATCTCCTCTCCTACATCCCTCCCCCCATTTTAATGTAGGAAGCAGAGACTTTGTTTTGTTCAATGTCCAATCTCTAGCACTTCGGATGGTGTGTGAAATATAATGAATTCCCAGCAGGGATCAATTAAGGGAGTAATAGTTAGCTGATGCCTCCCAAATAAATCAGGTTAAGAGGAAGTTAAAGCAGATCTAGAAACTTTGGTTATTGCTGCACCACCAGGGATATTCTTAGGTTTCACTAAACATTCAGACCCAAAGGACCGCTACAGGTGACACCTGGTCCAGTCCATTCAGGAAGATGAAAGGCAGAACTACAGCAGGCCAGCAGGGCAGCCTTGGGTGTCCTTCTCAGTAGGAGTTTTTGCAGTGTTCGTGCAGGTGACACTTCACATAGTCATTCATCTTAGAATAAGGACATGAGATCTGCAAGCTGCCTGGCTTACTGCCCCAAAGGAGCCAGTATCTCTTGTAACAAGGCCACATGCAGTTTCCAGGGTCCCTGCAAAGGACATGCAGTAAGAAGAATCACTGCATTTATGTCCTAAATATGGTATCCCCATCAGGTACCCATAGTTCTCCCAGGCCAGATGCAATCTATGAATTAGGGGTCAATAATATAGCTGAAATTCTACGTTATTAGGTACCAGATGTATAATCAAAGCAGATTATACTTCGAGAAAATAGTGACAGCATCACTTCTGGTTCCACATGCTCTTCCAAAACATTGCCACATATCCATCAAGAGAATCTATCTTCCCTCCCTGAAAACCAGGGGAAACTTTGTGACTGTCCTGATGAACAGAACAAGATAGAAGTAACATGCTGTGACTTCTGAGGCTAGATCAAATAATGTGATACAGCTTTCACTTCCATCTCTCACAACATTTGTCTGTGGAACCCAGTTACCAGGCAAGAAACCCAGGCCACATGGAAAGGCCATGGGTAAGTGTACTGGCCAGGAGCCCTAGCTAAAGCCTCAGCCAACAGCCAGTATCAACTACTGGAAAAGGGCCCTCAGACAATTCCAGATTCCAGCCTGGAATCTACCTCAGCTAAAGATGAATGGAGAAGACACAAGCTCTCCACTTGGGACCCTGGCTCCCAAACTGTGCCTTAAGGCACTCTGGGGCACCACAGGAAAACACAACCACGTCAATAATGATGTAAACTAGGCAGTTCACAGTAACATTACAGCAGTCCCTTCATATCTGCAGAGGAGGTGGGACCGTGGGATACGGGCATTGTTTCCAGGAACAGCTCTAGCCCCCACCAGGATGGATGCAAAAGCCCCTTATATAAAATGGCAGAGTACCTGTGTATAAGTAACGCATATCCTCCAAATACTTTAAAATCATCTCTAGATTACTTATAATACCTAATTATGTAAGTAGTTGTTATACTGTGTTTTTTTAATATATATATTTCAATCAGAAGTTGGTTGAATCTGTGAATGCAGAACCTGCACATACAGAGGGCCACCTGTATATTGCTCCATTCCTATCAATGACATTCTATCTTTGTTAAGATTGTTTCTCAGGAGTGGTTGTACTAAAAACAAATATCCCAGGAAAATCAATGTGGAACAAGGGTGAACATGGTAGTGTCCAATCTTATTACAAGGCTAGGTCATTAAAAAGAAAATATAACTTTCTCTTGGCTCACTTTCTCTTAAGACACCCGCCCTGGAACTCAGCCACCACGCAGTGATAAAGCCCAGGCCACAAAGAAAGCCACAGGTAGGTGTTTCTGCTAACACCCTCAGCTAAGGTCTCAGCTGACAGCCAGCATCAACTGCCAGACCTATGAGTGAGCAAACTTCAGATGATTCCAGCCTCAGACTTCCAAGTCTTCCAATTGAGGCCCCTGACATCACAGAGCACAGACTGGCCTTCCCCACTGTGTTCTAGTCAAATCGCTAACCCACAGAATCTGTGAGCATAATGAATGAATGTTTTACGCCATTAAGTTTGGGAGGTAATGTAGCCATGGTAACCATATCAATGAAGGTTCAATATATAATACAAAGAAAGAAAAGCAGGCTATGTGTGAAGCAATCATGACAGTGCCACATGAAGCAAAGATCATGATTAACCTAATCCCGTGCACCTTGGAGTCCTTGAAAAAGGGGGAGGGGAGGAAAAAAATAATTAAAAGACACCTTTTAAAAACTCAAAACAAATGTACCTCATTCACCAGTCTTTTGATGTGGGACCAAAGCCTCTTCTTTGAACACAGGACCATGATAGAGGTTCTAAGGCACATCTTTTATATACATCACATCCATTCTCCAAGATTCTCAATTTTAGTTTAAGTGGAAAAGTGGAGCAAGAATGTAAGAAAGCTTACAAAGCAATCTAAGTGTATGATCTACCCACATATGTATGTTTGCCTCACTCATACCTAATTGGAAAGAAAATTTTTAAATGACCTGTACTGACTTTTTTGTTGTTGTTGTTGAGACGGAGTCTCGCTCTGTCACCCAGGCTGGAGTGCAGTGGCCGGATCTCAGCTCACTGCAAGCTCTGCCTCCTGGGTTTACGCCATTCTCCTGCCTCAGCCTCCCAAGTAGCTGGGACTACAGGCGCCCGCCACCTCGCCTGGCTAGTTTTTTTGTATTTTTTTAGTAGAGACGGGGTTTCACCGTGTTAGCCAGGATGGTCTCGATCTCCTGACCTTGTGATCCGCCCGTCTCGGCCTCCCAAAGTGCTGGGATTACAGGCTTGAGCCACCGCGCCCGGCCTGCTGACTCTTTCCAAAGCATTCAACTCACTTTACCATTTCTGTAATAGTTAATTCAATTATAATTATAATAAACAACATAATGGGTCATAAATAGATCTAGGAGCTTTAAAAATGCCACTCTTGATAAGTATTTATATATGTTTGTATTATTTTTTCCATATATTTTTATATAACCATTTTGTTTCTAAAAGCAGGAGGAGGAGGAGAAGTACCTATTATGGGTACTGATCATCTGAATTAGCTTACTCTACCACCCAGTCATACTTTCTAGAGGTATTTTTGATATAATGTAGAAAACAAGAAGTTCCATTAAAATGTTAAATCAGTCTGGGAAACAGAAGACTCTATTAAAATGTTTGTTCTGGTAACAGAAGTCAGTGATGACTATCCTAAAGCCACATACCTTACTACTTGAGTTAATGACATCATTAAAATACATCATTACACAGCACTAAAAAAAATACTGCCATTTAACCTACTGCACAATGCCAAGATATCACTGATTGCACTTAGAATTAAATATAATACTCTTTTGACAAACACAAGTAATTATAATACTCTGAGGAAACTACCAAGAAAGCTGAAAGCACTGATAGGTATTGATCAAGGGAAGTCATATAAAGCAGTTGTAATCAACATGCTCAAACTTTATTCCAGAATCTTTAAAATGGAAAATTTTAAATAAGCAAGTCCTTTACAGACATTAAGCTACCTTCAAATCAAGATGTACATGATATTGTTAATGAACAGCTTAAAGAGGCAATTACATGGCAGTTAACACTGATAAATACATAAGAGAGTGAAATTCTCAATGAGATCACTTCTCTTTTCCTTTCTCTGGATTGTGTACAGATATCCTCTTATTATTTAAACATAATACAATCACAGCATTTCTCAAGTAATTATTTTGTTGGTGGTGTTGCTTAAGACAGAGTCTCACTCTGCCCTCCAGGCTGGGGTGCAGTGGCACAATTCTCGGCTCACTGAAACCTCTGCCTCCTGGGTTCAAGCGGTCCTCCTGCCTCAGCCTCCCAAGTTGCTGGGATTACAAGCATACGCCACCATGCTCAGCTGATTTTTGTATTTTTAGTAGAGATGGGGTTTCACAATGTTAGCCAGGCTGGTCTCAAACTGCTGACCTCAAGTGATCCACCCGCCTCAGCCTCCCAAAGTGCCGGGATTACAGGTGTGAGCCACCACGCTCAGCCTTGAGTAATTATTAGAGTCCCTGTCTTTTTTTTTTTTTTTTTGAGACAGAGTCTTGTTGTGTCGCCCAGGCTGGGGTGCAGTGGCCGGATCTCAGCTCACTGCAAGCTCCGCCTCCCGGGTTTAGACCATTCTCCTGCCTCAGCCTCCCGAGTAGCTGGGACTACAGGCGCCCGCCACCTCGCCCGGCTAGTTTTTTGTATTTTTTAGTAGAGACGGGGTTTCACCATGTTAGCCAGGATGGTCTCGATCTCCTGACCTTGTGATCCGCCCGTCTCGGCCTCCCAAAGTGCTGGGATCACAGGCTTGAGCCACCGCGCCCGGCCTAGAGTCCCTGTCTTTACAAGCTGATATTTATTCTTCATTAATTCAACATTTCCCAAGTACTTGTATTAAAAATATTTTTTACCAAAAGAAAAACTTACTGGAGTTTCAAACAACATTTGAATTACAATTAAATTTACCTCTTCTTTGGAGTATATTCTGTAGCTCTTTGAAGCCTGCCAAGTGTAGCTTCCAAACTTTTAAGTGGTCTTCTGTTGGGGGGCTTTGTTGTTTGTACATTTACTGTGCTTAATTCAACTTTCATGCCCTTAATAATGTCTAACAAGTCTTTTTTCGTATTTTCCTTTGCACTGGCTTGGCTCTCTGAAGTCTCCTTGGAAGTCTCATCAGTTCGAACAGACTGCTCATCTTTCTTGCTACAGATCACGCTGTTAGTGCCAAAATATCTTTGGATATTTTTCATCCTGGAAAGATGTATTAAAGAAAAAAATGAAAAATACAACGCAGTCTAATAAAGTAAAACATTATGTATCTAAAATGTTTTTCAATTCAAGCCCTTTCCATTTGCTTTTTTTTTTTTTTCTTTTTTGAGATGGATTTTCACTCTTGTTGCCCAGGCTGGAGTGCAATGGTGCGATCTCGGCTCACTGCAACCTCTGCTTCCCAGGTTCAAGCGATTCTCCTGCCTCAACCTCCCGAGTAGCTGGGATTACAGGCATGTGCCACCACGCCTGGCTAATTTTGTATTTTTAGTAAAGATGGGGTTTCTCCATGTTGGTCAGGCTGGTCTCCTTTTATAATTATTGTTAACAACCATAACAGCAGCAACTTAACATTTATTGGCATATACTACATGCCTCATCTTGTGTAATATACTTTATGTACATTTCTCATACCCACATTAACTCCCTAAGGTCTCTATTTTGCAGATAAGGAAACTGAAAATCAGAGAAGTCCCAAAGTCATGTAGCTCACAGCTCACTAAGAACTAAGACACACTGTGTGCCACAAATACGTAGAGGTGTGCTGAGCTATTGATCACTTGGTCCTTCTGGTGGCCAGGGGAGGTCTGGGGGTGCTGGTGCTCCCAAGTCTGTTCCCTCCCTCTATTTACCCCAGGGTTCGGTAGTAAAACACTGACATGGTTAATAAATGACAACTTATTATTCAAACTCAAATGTGACTGACTGCAAGTCCTTGCTCTTAACATAATACCTCTTTAAAAAGTTATAATTAAACAATACAAAAATAAATTTCTATCAATAAAAAAGATTATTTCAAAAAAACTTTCTGAGTGGGTGTTACCTAATCTGATCAACATTTTCATCGAGCTACATGCCACTTAACCCATAACCATTTGTAAGGTAAGCTAGAATGGAACAGAAAAGAGAATAATCAATGGCTAGAAATGTCACTTTTGCTTTCTTCACCGGATACATTTATGAAAAAGAACAACACAAATGATTACATCTATATTAGACTCACGTAAAACATTTCCTAATTCTAAGTAACCCAAATATCCAATTTTATTCTGTGGGGTTAAAAACTTGTTTTGGTATTTGATTACTGAAGAACTTTCAAAACTCTGAATATGTTAGTTTCAGTAAGAGGGTATATTAAAAAGTCATTCATTAAATATAGTGAATATCTACTCTGTGGTGGGCACTATCCTAGGTACTGACAATATATTAGTAAATAGGAATTTCATGGTCCCTGCCTTTATGAAGCTGACGTGCTACAGCACTGCTTCTCAAACATTAATATGCACAGAATTTTTTTTTTTTTTTTTTTTTTGAGGCAGGGCCTCACTCTGTCAGATAGGCTGGAGTGCAGTGGCATGATCTCAGCTCACTGCAGCCTCGACCTCCCTGAGCTCAGGTGATCCTCCCACCTCAGCCTCCTGGTACCTGGTACTAATTTTTTGTAGAGACAAGGTTTCGCCACGTTGCCCAGGCTCGAATTCCTAGCCTCAACACATCTGCTCACCTCCCAAAGTGCTGGGATTTCAGGCGTGAGCCACCACACCTGGCCCACAGAAATTATCTATGCTCCTTGCTAAAACACACTTTGGTCCCACCAAAGAATTCTGATTCAACAGCTTTGTCCAGGAGACACTTGAGAATTCACATTTCTAACAAACTCCCAGGTGATGCTAACGCTGCTGGTCAGAGGACCACATTACAGTAGCTATGTACGTTACTTAATCCTTACAATTTTACAGAACAGGTTTTATTATTCTCACTTTACAGAACAAACTGTTGCCCACAGAAGTTAAAGCAGTAGTTATGAATCTTAAGAGGTTATACAAATCACACAGAGAGCTGACTTAAAACACAGTTCTTAGTTTGAAATTTAACATTTTTAACTAAGACCCCAGGTGATTCTCATGCGGGTGAGCTCAAGAGCCTGTATCAGACACTGGGTTAAATATTTTATCAAGTTCAGCTGGTGCGGTGGCTCATGCCTGTAATTCCAGCAGTTTGGGAGGCGGAGGTGGGAGGATCATGAGGTCAGGAGTTCGAGATCAGCCTGGCCAATATGGTGAAATCCCGTCTCTACTAAAAATACAAAAATTAGCCAGGTGTGGTGGTGGGTGCCTGTAGTTCCAGCTACTTGGGAGGCTGGGGCAGAAGAATCGCTTGAACCTGGGAGGCGGAGGTTGCAGTGAGCCGAGATAGCGCACTGCACTCCAGCCTCAGCAACAGAGTGAGACTCTGTCCCAAAATAAATAAATAAATATATATATACACACACACATACATAGTATCAAGTTCTCAAAGGCAGAAAATGGCAGCTGCAGGTTAAGGATACTTACATGAAAGAGAAATGGCAATTTCCAAAAATGCTGAAACAAACTATTTGATCTGCTAATGAAAACGTCAGAGGCTATCAAATCAGGCACTTTAAAATTAGAAAAAAACCAACTGCATAACTACTATCCTCATAATCAGTACACAGAACTCTCATTATAACATTCAATATATGGTACAATCCATTTAAGAAAATGGTCTATTATTTTACATTTAAAATTAACATTCAAGGTATTTTAATAGAAAGGTGGTAATCAGGGGAATGAATCTCACATATAATCTTTACTACAATGTTTTCTTTCAAGAGCTATCGTACCACAGAAAGGAACCCATATGATAGGAAAATCACATCTAAGTAACCCCCTAGCACTAAAAATAATAAAACTCTAGATTTAACCTCCCACCTAAGTTTGTTTCCACTGACAGCATCTCATTAGTACTTCAAATGCAACACCTTCAAAACCACATTCAAGACTCCTCTTTCAGACTGACTTTCCATTTTTCACACTTTCTATATTAAAAGGCCCCCTAATGTAAACAGGTATTTTTTGTCTTCTAAAAATTATAACATATGTACAAATCTTTCTCAAGCCTGGCTCCGCATTCTTCCGTTAACATTAAGGATACCCTAATACTCCAACGCAGCCAGTTGAAATCTTAGCTACCTCTGACCACCCTACCATTATCCCATGATGTCACATCCCTTTAATTCTACCTGTGCAATTTTTCTCCTCCATTCAGCTGGTCCTTCCCATCTTCACTGCTACTAACCTGCTTCAGCACTGTACTTAACCAAACTGTCTTCTGAGTGTTACGCATGGAATTTATGCAGTGGAATTAGGTTTTCATAATAAAGTTCTCAGAGGATAAATACCAAAACCAAGTATGCCGCAATTCCCTTTTTTTCCTGGCTAACTTCAACCAGTGGTCCTCCTTCAGATTGCATCAGACTTTTTCCAGAAACGATATCCTGAGTCTCCCCTACAATGGTTAGGTGTCCCTATTTGCTATCCCAGCAAATATTCACTCATGTTGGCTGAACAGTGTACTCTGTGCTTACCTACACTATCTCAGCTATTACTTCACTACATAGCACTTGAATTGTCTACTTGCTGGAACTACATGCTCCGTGATGGCAGGACTGTCTCACTTGGGGTTTACAACCAGTACTGGCACGCTGGTTTTCAAGTTTTTCAGTAATGAACTAAGGAATAAATGAAGGAAAACAAATGAGACTATCAAATAAATCTTGGGAGGCAAAAGGTAAAAACAACTTTGCTTTTGGAACCTGAGTAAACTGACAGATGATAAGAGGAATGAGGCGCGGCGTGTAGTATTAAGAGCACAGCGACCAAGCTTGTAATCGTAGCTCTATTTTCCATGCACACTATGACCTTCGGCAAGTCATCTTTTCTTTCTGGGATTTCTCTTTCCTCAGATTTAAAGCAATAGCTTCTAAGATCCAGCAGGTAATAATATCGACTCCAGGAAGTCGGAGGATAACTGAAATGTACAGGACCAGGCACCGGGTTGCCTGAGGACCTGCGGAACCAAAAGCGCTGAACTGCGATACCTGACCGTTCCGTGCCGAGCAGCGAGTAGCATAATCGCAGCCGCTGATGTCTCCGGGCTTCCAGAGGACAAAGGGTGGCGGGAAAGGAGGCGAAGAGGTAGGAACGTCGAGACTCTAGGAAACATCGCCGAGACACAAAATGAACCAAGAACGCAACCGAAATGGCGTGTACCGCTGCCAAACACGTCCCCGCCCTCTCTTCCGTTTCCAGCCTGGCGCCTTCCTCTCTCTTTGCGTTCCGGTGGGCAACAGGAGCCGGTAACTGTGTTCCGGACTCGCCCGCGGCCGGGCGGAGCCAGCTGCCTCCAAGCGACCCCACCCACCCCGCGAGTCTTAGAGGCGGACTGCTCGTCAGAGTTCAGGAACGGTTCGCCGGCCGAGGCGGGTTCCAGACCCGCAAACCGGACAGTGGAGGGCGTAATCAGTTGTGCGAAAACTACAGATGGGGCCAGTGAGATCAGTCTCTTATTTAACGGACAGTATTTTGCAATGTTTGGAGGGAAAGGGTCTACAGGGTTCACCACGTTCTCAAAATGCTCTATGGCCACCAAAGAGGTTTAAAAAAATTACTAAAAGACCTGCTGCCCTATGAATTAGCGTTTTCTTTCAGTCTTTATTCTTGATGTAGAGGCAGAATGAGACATGGGTTTCATTTTTCAAAAATGGCTTTAATGGCCGGGCACGGTGGCTCACGCCTGTGATCCCAGCACTTCGGGAGGCCGAGGCGGGTGGATCACTTGAGGTTCGAGACCAGCCTGGCCAACATGGTGAAACCCCATCTCTATTTAAAAAAAAAAAAAAAAAAAACGAAAAAAACACACAAAAAAATTAGCCGGGCGTGGTGGCGGGCGCCTGTAATCCCAGCTACTGGGGAGGCTGAGGCAGGAGAATCGCTTGAACTCGGGAGATGGGGGCTGCAGTGAGCCGAGATCGCGCCATTGCACTCCAGCCTGGGCTACAGAGCGAGACTCTTGTCTCAAAAAAAAAAAAAAAAGGATTTACGCTGGGTGCCAGGGGCGCAGTGGCTCATACCTGTAATCCCAGCACTTTGGGAAGCCGAGGCGGGTGGATCACTTGAGGCCAGGGGTTCAAGACCAGCCTGGCCAACATGGTGAAACCCTGACTCTACTAAAAATGCAAAAATTAGCCTGGCGTGATGGCGAGTGCCTATAATCCCAGCTACTCGGGAGGCTGACACAGGAGAATAGCTTGAACCCGGAAGGCGGAGGCTGCAGTGAGCCAAGATTGTGCCACTGCACTCCAGCCTGGGGAACAGAGACTCTGTCTCAAAAAAAAAAAAAATAATAATAATAATAAAAGAAAAAAAAGATTAAAAAATGCAAGAGAGAGACTTGGCTTTTACCTGTCCGTCATGAAACAGGGAACTGTGACCCCAGAAATGATGTGGGGTTCCCAAACTTGGAAGGGCATGAGAATAAATCTAGTGGGAAATGTTGGCTAATAGGACACACATGGGAACCACTAGCCTAAAATCCATAAAGGCATTCCAAAGTTTACATCAACATTTTCCCTGTCCTCTCAAAAAATAATCAAGGTGGGGAGGAGAGTTTTTTGTGATGCTCAAACAGAGCTTACATTGAGCAGATCTTCCTGAGATCCACTAACACTAACAGAACCTTTGTCACTGAATGCTCTACACAGTACACTTGGGGATGCTTACTTTGTCTGATTTGTAAAAAACCAAACTTAAAAAAAATTGAAGCATAACTTTGTCAAAAAACAAAATTATGGCAAATTTAGTGTAATTGGCTTTTATTTGTGATTCTAGAACAGGGTGACATCTCATTCTATAAAATAGTGTGAGTGTTCCAGTGAGTTGAGCAGAGGGGTTTGGCTTTATAAGCACAAAAGGGTTGAAGAAAATAGAAACAGGGAATAAAAATCAGATTGGACATTTCAAAGCTGCCTTCCTTATTAAAGGGTTAAAACAGAGGGATTTCCTTATCAAGCTGGCTCAGGTAAATTAGGCCCCCTCTGATTGGTGCTGTGAATCTCCTGCTTTTGGAAAACTGGCCCTGATTTCAAAGTTCAGTTTGATTACTTGGCACTTAGCACAAGTGACTATTCTGGTTTAGTCTGGTGTGCTGGGGGCTAGTACAGGAAGCTTGTCCAAAACTACAGCCTCCTATAAACTTTAGCAACTTCAATTCAGAAAAGTATATGAATTATAAATATGTTGATGACAATGTATTTTTGTTATTGTTGAGATGGAGTCTTGCTCTGTCACCCAGGCTGGAGTGCAGTGGTGTTATCTCAGCTCACTGCAACCTCACCTCCCAGGTTCAAGCAATTCTCCTGCCCTAGCCTCCTGAGTAGCTGGGAGTACAGCCGTGCGCCACCACCCCTAGTGAATTTTGGCATTTTTAGTAGAGACAGGGTTTCACTATGTTGGCCAGCCTGGTCTCAAACTCTTGATTTCAGGTGATCTTCCCAACTCGGCCTCCCAAAGTGCCGAGATTACAAGCATGAGCCACCGCGCCTAACCAAAAATGTGTTTAAGGAATGATCACAGAGTTAATACACCCACATAAACCTCCACCTAGATCAAGAAATAGAATATTAGCAGTATGGCATACTTTTCTTGATATCACTTGATACCCAGTGGAAAATCCATTCTCGAGTGTAATAAGCAGTCCATGTGGATCACATTTAATAGTTACTTCATCTTTTTTCTCTCCTTCCTTCCTTCCTTCCTTTCTTTCCTTCCTTCTTTCTTTCTTTTCTTTTCTTTTTTTTTTTTTTTTTTTTTGAGACGGAGTCTCGCTCTGTCGCCCAGGCTGGAGTGCAGTGGCCGGATCTCAGCTCACTGCAAGCTCCGCCTCCCGGGTTCACGCCATTCTCCTGCCTCAGCCTCCTAAGTAGCTGGGACTACAGGCGCCCGCCACCACACCCGGCTAATTTTTTTGTATTTTTTTAGTAGAGACGGGGTTTCACCATAACACGCCTGCGCCTGGCCGCTGCGCCTGGCCTCGATTTCTTATAATATCCTTCAAATGGGTTTTTTAAAACCCTAAAAACTCTTGACAAAGGAGATGAAAACTTCCATCTCAATTTCACAGCTTCTCTGGGGGAAGATCTTGTCCCATTTACCCTGTTCTTAATCTACTCTAAGGTAGTGCAGACACAGTAAATTACCTCCCTGCCGCATACAGGCAGATAGGCTGTGACTATGTGAAAGTGCCTGGCTGAGGGTCACAAGCCAGAATTGAAATTTAGTATTCTTTACCATTTGGTTCCTTCCACTATCACTTTCTTACAAAAGAGGCTTTCTTTGACCACCATGGTTAATGTAGTCTCCTGTCCCATCCAGTCGCACTCTGGCAGGGATTGCTGTTGTCCACCTATAGCTATTCTCTTCTTCTGGAACTTAAGCTGAACTCATGACCCTGTCTCTACAAAAAAATAAAAAAATTAGCTGGGCATGGTGCACCTGTGGCCCCAGCTACTTGGGAGGCTGAAGTGGGAGGACCGCTTGAGCTCAGAAGGTGGAGGCTGCGGTGAGCAGTGACTGAGCCACTGCACTCCAGCCTAGATGACAGAGAGAAACCCTATCTCTAAATAAATAAATAAAATTCACTTTAATAAAAAAGAGAATTAATAGGATAGTTCTATTTGGCCATAAATTAAACCATAAAGAGAGTTTCAATAAATTCCCCCCAAATTTCAAGTCTGTCCTTTGAAAAACTAATATAACTTGTGTAATTTTTTTTCCAGAGCAATCATTTATGAGAGTGACAAAAATAAAGCCGAAAGTAGAAAATGTTTTTCCTCCCCTAACTTTCTATTATGGTATTTGATTCACCAGTCATTTTCTTCCCAGGGCCCCTTGGAAATGTACTTGTTAGAAACAAGGCAAGAAATAGAAAATCAACTGAAATTGCTCCTGATACAGAGCGGTGACTTTGTCCTAGCTATCTCATAAAATTCTATACGAATTAACTCAACAAGCCTTACAAGAAAATGAAGAAACAAAATCACCCTATATTCCAGTTATCCATTGCTGCACAACAAACCATCCTAACACTTAGTATCTTAAAACAACAATTTATTATCTATCCTGGTTCTGTGGTGGACGGGGCTCAGCTGGGTGGTCCCCACTTTGATCCCTCATGTGGTTGCCATCAGATAAGACTGAATGTCCAAGATGGTTTCTTCACCCACACATCTGATGCCTCAGCTGGAATAGCTGGAAGAAACAGGGGCTGGCTGGGCCTCTCTCCACACCGTGCCAGGCCTAAAGCAAGCTAACTCTTATAAAGTTACAAAACCACAGTGAAGATATTAAAGTAGCAGGTTAATTAATGGTACAAGCAATTTCACTTCATTGCAATGAACTTCTTTCCCATAATATTTAATGTATCCCAGATTCATTTCTACCATTACGTAATTACTATACTAATTCTTAGATACACTTTAAATCTAGTAAATAATACATCTTGGAAAGATCTAAGTAAATTAATAATACATCTAGAAAGATTCAGAACAATTTAGAATGTTCTGCCAATATGCATGAACTAGCCACTAGTTCATGCTAGTGGATCACAAAAGGGTAAAAACAATGAAGCTCCTTCTCCCAAGTGGCAGGATGGCAGAACACGAATGTCATAGCACAAGTGAGGTTTACAAGCTCTGTGGCTACTTTGCCTGTGCATTAAAATGTATCATATTCTGCTGTTTGTTTTATGCTATTTTTCCATCATACTTACTTTGTCTATGCACTTCATAGGCAATAAAATGTAATTGATTCTATTAATTGCTTTTTAGTCACTAGAATTGTCCATATATGTAACTTCATTTCCCAATGAATATGTCTATAAAGCTGTATATTTTATGTCCAAAGTAATCTTTTTCCCTAAAATCAACTCTGAATTAACTTTCAATGCCTCTGTGTAAAAAAGCATGTAAGACTTTTTCCAATAAAATCAGGAGGCAGCATAAACATGCACAATATGGTAATGAGAATAATAACACCACTAACTGCCATTGTTGCATACTAAACCATTTACATTCTTATCTCATTTAATTTTCTCATTGGCATCAGAATTATCCAACAAGACCAGTCCTGTGTCACAGCAGATGTATGACACCCTGTAGCAAGGAGTCCAGGAATGGTCAATATTTGAAAATCCAACTATCCAGGTCAGCAATGTCCCCAGTCTTCTGAGGTTTGCTCTTTGTGAAATAAGCCTGCAGAATAAACCCAGTTGTCCAGCAGTTTCAGCTACCTACTTCAATTTACTTGTGG